ATTTTTAAACTCTATTCCATCTAGTTTTTGGATCTTACCATGGTGTATAGACAGAGCTGTACATTTGTCAATTCAAAATTTCATTTGGATATCTTCACTAAATATTTGCATTGTGTTTAATCCAGCTGTGTGGCAATTAGTCAAATACCCTTTTATAGTCTATCCAGGTCATATTAAGGTTTGTTTTTCGTCTTTTTGCATTCTTCAGGATGATTTTATCAATAAGCAGCTGATCTTTTGTGCCTCTTGACTTTTTATAGTTCCCTTTCTGTTCAGTTGGATATAGGGAGTTTTCAGTTAAGTATTTATATACTGATCTTTTAAGGACTCCTGTGAGTACTTCACTAAATATCTTCACTAAATATTTGCATTGTGTTTAGCAGTGATTCTATCTCCGTGGAACTTTTTGCATATAATTTTAGGTCATCCATGTATAACAGATGATGATGATGATGATTAAATAGATAAATAGTGATGGACAGAATAATTTTGAGCCCAACTAGATATCATAATAAATATTTGAGTTAGGGCACTTAGGTATGAATTCTGGTTAAATAAATTTTTTATAAATACTGTACACTAGAACGCCCCCAGTTGTACCACCCATCCTGTTGCTCTAATTTTCTTCTCCTGTCACACTAGTGTCCCCTCCCCACAGGTTTATGTCTTTTTCTGCTTCCACTCTAGAACTCACTCAGCCAAGTACTCACAGACAGAACAGAAGCTTCTTTCAGCTACAGCTACCAGAATCCCTCAGCCAGTATGGCCAGTTGAGATATAAACCCATCCTTTTATTTAATCTGGGACCTCAGTGTTATCCCTACAGAACATTCTAGCTTTTTAGGGATATGATCTTTTTGGTTAAAGACTACAAATCTTATCACCTACTGGTTATGTAAGATGGGATCTCAGTAGTATCTGTGCAAAAGTTCACGTTTCTAGCTCTTAACCAGTTTTGAAATCTTAAGGCACAAACAAACTTTCAGATTTCTTGTGAGATGGCTCTTTTTAGTATCCTGTGCAAATGGTATTTTACCGAAGAAGTGTAGCAGTTCTGTTTGCTTTTGTAAATCTATGCCACTGAAAAGGTACTGGGAGTCCTGTTTGTTTGTTTGTTTTTGCAGGCACCTACCCTGACCAAGCAAGCATCCCCTTCACATATCCAGATAAATATCCTCCCAATCAAAAGTGCGCAGTGTACATCTACAAACTCAACAGATACAAACTCAGTTATGAGGTAGTTGAGAAATGGATATTTGCATCAAACATTCTGATTTGAAGCAAAGTTCAATTACTGACCTAGTGTTCATCAACAGCACCGTGTGGCTCAAGGGTTTGCTGATATGGTCACCTGATACCATCTGGTTGGGGGTAGGACTAGAAGAGGGGAGAGATGTAAGGTATCTAACCTCTCTTCTCCTATGCAGGCATGTTCTACCCCCACCACCATTCCTTCCCCTACCCAGCACCACCTCAATGGCTGCCCCCTCCAACGCCCTCCTGTTCCCTAAAATCCACTGTTGGTCTCTTCTTAATTGATGGCAATTAATTACAATTTAAAATAAGTTTAAAAATATATATAAAATAAAACCTTTCTAAAGCCCCTTCTCTCCCCTCCAGCCATGCGGCTCATGTTGAGAGTGGGGCGAGGCAGCCAGGAGCAGCAGGGTCCAATCCTGCAGAAGCAGAGGGAGGCTGAGCCAGCTCCCTTGAAAAAGAGCTGGCAGCTGGCAGGGGCCCGACCACAGTTCCACTGCTTCTCACACAGTGGGCTGTTTGAAGTCCCAGTTAAGCCCCAGTAAATAAGCCCCAGTTAAGTCAAACCCCACCCTCCACCATTGTGACGCAACCAGAAGATGATGACATGACTGTATTTGAATAAATGTAGAAGGTTGTACATGAAAAAATAAAACATCCCTTGAAAATAAGCCCTAATGCATTTTTGGAGCAAAAAAATTACCGTAATATAAGACCCTGTCTTTTCCCAAACATGGTAGATAATCAACTACAATACTAGATTGGACCCAAAGTGAATTAGAACAATTGGATCAAAAATGCAGAAATTAATGAACTGCACTGCATCCAAAAAGTGTAGACAGATTATATTTAATGTAGAAAACAGGTGGTCGCAAATTACTACAAATATAACAGGTAGTAAACAAAGAAAAGAAGAAGCCTAAATGATTATATTTTTAAAAAGCAGAGATAACATAAAGCGATGAACATGGAAAACATCTTGAAAATAATAGAAATGAAGGGTCAGTATAAGAAACAACAATCTGAAGATAAATTGAACAGCTGAAAAAATAAACCACTGCATGGAAAATATCTGGGAAATATTGATGGAAAATATGATAATATTTTAACGTGTGCATGACTAAAACCGGGGACCATCCAGAAAGAAACCGAAGACTTGATCTTAGCAGCGCAAGAACAAGCACTCCAAACTAATGTCAGAAAAGCTGTGATTCAAGGAATTTGTGCAAACATCAGATTTTGTCGCTGCCAAGAAAAAGATGAAACTGTCACACCTCATCTGCTGATGCCTGAAGATTGAAACAAGGCACAACAGAATAGCACAATTCATACACCGGTCACAATGTAAAAAATATAACCTGCCAGCATCTAAGAATCCGTGGAAAGATCAGGTAGACAAGGTGTCAGGAAAAAAAACAAATTAAGGTCTTCTGGGACTTTCTGATTTAAACCGACAGACACCTTGAGCATAATACACCAGATATAACAATGACAGAATGAAGAAATGTCTGGATAACAGACATTGCAACTCCAGGGGATGTCAGAGTTGAAGATAAGGAACAGGAAAAATTAATGAAATGAAAAGACATGTCTATAGAAAGAACTCACTGGTGCATAAAAGCACATTTCAGTGGTCCCCAAATTCATTGGATCATTGGGAACAATGCTGCAGAATTTTATAAAACATTATAAACAGCTGCAGATCTCTGAAATAACGGAGCTGCAAAAGACGTCACATATAACATACACATGACACCCATATTTAACTGATCTTTAGGGTTTTGCTTAAAACTTGTTGTATTTTTTGTTTAGTCATTAAGTCATGTCCAACTGTTGTATTTTTTGTTTAGTCGTTAAGTCATGTCCAACTCTTCGTGACCCCATGGACCAGAGCACACCAGGCCCTCCTGTCTTCCACTGCCTCCCGGAGTTGGGTCAAATTCATGTTGGTCACTTCGATGACACTGTCCATCTATTTCATCCTCTGTCGTCCCCTTCTCCTCTTGCCCTCACTCTTTCCCAACATCAGGGTCTTTTCCAGGTTATATAGAACCAGTCTAAGACCGTATCTTATATTTTACTACTACTACAGCAACAACAGAGCTACAAAGAATGACAATATTAGGAACATACTGTGCTGATATTTAACAGATAGTTAGGTTTTTGGTTAAAACTTGTATCTGTTGTATCACACCAGTCAATGTTTTTATAATTCTGACTGACTGTGTTTGGTATTTTTCAATACCATAATAATACATTAATATGCTACTTTTCTCCCAGAAAGGGCATTCCCAGAAGCTATTATGAGGATTGGAACAACACTCAGAGGAAATAGAAAAGGTATATACTAGTTTTCTCCCAGAAATAGTAGCTAAAGGGGATTCCCAGAAGCTATTATGAGGACTGGAACAACACTCAGAGGAAATAGAAAAGGGGTGACAGATGATGTTGTAGTTCCTGCTAGTTACGAAGTCCCAGGACTTCAACCTTGTGAGCCCAGGTTCCACTAGGCCACTGACTCCAAATAAACTACATGTACTACGTATTTATTGAGCTAGAGAAGCTTTTCTGACAACCTCCAGATGGTTTGGACTCCAAATCTCACCATCCCCAGTCGCTGGTCATAAGAGTTGCATTCAAGCAATATCTGGGCTCCAAATCCCACCATCCCCAGTCGCTGGTCATGGTGGGGGAGCTCATAAGAGTTGCATTCAAGCAATATCTGGAGGATGTCTTGTTGAGAAAGGCTGGGATGAATAGTAGACTCGGAACCTCCTGATGCTGAAAAGCGGGACTATCTCAACATATGTAGTGTTATCGAATCCTGAGGACTAGAATCCTAGAAGTGCAGAATCAGAAGGACCCACAAAAGTAATCAAGTCCAACCAGCCTCCCAACGCAGAAAATCCACAGCTGAAAAAACCTGATAAAGGGCTAAAACGCCAATGAAGGAGAACGCAGAGCCCTGTAGCCTTTTCCATTGCTGGACCGCTGTCATTCTCAGGAAAGTCCTCCTCATGCAGTGATGAGAGTAAGTGGATGTGGGGCCTTCTGTGTACAAGAGATGCGCCCTGCCATCCATGTAATCCAGACATGTCAGTAGACAGCTGTTTGCTCAGATCCAGGTGGCAATTCAGATTCCTTTATTACGTCTGTAGATTAACCACGGAAAAACAATACAACAGAAAAAAACGGGGTGGTTTGGGGTGTACAACTATTAGGAATATAAATGTTGTGGCAATTGAGCCCTGCCTTTGAATGTCATCAGTAGAAACTCCAAGAAAATAATGTGGTACATCCTCACTTCCTAATAAGGGTTGCTTTTACGCGTATTGCCCGCCATGCCCGCCTCCAGGACTCCATTACATTACATTTCATTCAACGATCTTCCATTTTTCCTTCTGCACAACTACACAACATGTCCTGGGCTCATTTGAAGATGTTTTCCTTTTGGTTTTTTTGCACTTCTGCAAACCTCAAAGCTTACCCAAGCATGCTACCTACCACCTTCCTCTTTTTACTTCCTTTCAATTTTTGTTCCCCCCCTTCCCAATAACTGACCTCGTTCTTGCTTTATTTTCAACTCACTACCTGGCTTTGCTATTAAAGGGATTACGCCTAGCTCCCGGGAAGACCTCCATAAGAAATCAGATTTTTTTAAGAAGATGTGAACGGAAGCTGTCAAAAGGACTGGAGAGAACAGACGGGCTCAGAACGGTCTTTCCTGACAGCACATCATCAGGAAAGTTAAAAATAGACTTTTTTTTTTCTAGAACTTTGAGCAGGCTGTTCAGAAGTCGGAAAGAGTGGGGAGCCGGGAAAGGTTCCAAGAAGCAAACACTTCCTTTCACATGACAGCTGTTGAATCACATAATTACCCGCTCCTGATTCACAGCCCCAGACAGCTTCTTTGAATTGCCACAATTTCTCGTTTGGTTCAAAAATTCCTCCGAGCTGCAAGCTGCTGAAGCAACTGCCTTAAGAGAAGCTGCAAGCCAGCGGTTCACCCCCATTGCCTCTCCAGATGTTATGGATTTCAACTCTCAGAAACCGTGACCACTATCCAAAATTTCCGGCAGACTAACACTTGAGAACCATAGATACAGTCGTGCCCCGCTTAACGATTACCCCGCATTACAACAAATCAGCTTCACGACGATGTTTTTGCGATCGCAAAAACAATGGTCTAAACGGGGTTTTTTCGCTTTGCGAAGATCAGTTCCCTGCTTTGGGAACTGATTCTTTGCATTACGGCAATCAAAACAGCTGAGCGTCGGGTTTTCAAAATGGATCACGTTTTCAAAATGGCCACTAGGTGCTCAAAATGGCTCCCCGCTGTGCTTAGGGACGGATTCCTCGCTATACAGGCACTGAAAATGGCCGCCATATGGAGGATCTTCGCTGGACGGTGAGTTTTTAGCCCATTGAAATGCATTAACCGGGTTTTAATGCGTTTCAAAGGGTTTTTAAATGTTGCTTTACGACATTTTCGCTCTACAGCAATTTCACTGGAACGAATTAACGTCGTTAAGCAAGGCACCACTGTATCAGCTTTAGCATCTTCTGTGCAGAGGCCTCGCTAAGGCAGGGCAACCAAGTCTGTGACTCAGTGTGCCAAATCTATCTTGGGAACTTTCACAACCCAGCATGCTGCCTCTCTTTTGAGTGATGGGGAAGACCTTTTTTGGGCTCAATCTGTCTATCTAGGCAGCACTAATCAATTGTTCCCTCCCACCTCTAGATTCAGATAAAGCCCCACCTCTGCCGAGTGCTTTCCTTTCCCCCTCTTTAGTCTGTTGGAAGACAGTTACTATCTGAAGAAATGGCTCCTGCAATTCCTCTACTTGCAGATAGGGGGAGCATTTCTAGAGATCATCTCCACTTCCTGTTTCACCAGGAAGAGGGATGAAAACGTACAGGATGTGACATCATTGCATGCCACACAACCTAGTATTTTCTGTCAAAATGCACTTCCTCTCCTAAAATGACCTAGGAATACAAAGAATGTTGCATTTTTGTGTGTGTTCGTGTGCCTTCATTTCACTTGGTACCAGGCTGAGTGCCTCCAATGTTCTTTTTGAGGGCACCCTTTGTCCACCCAGTCGACAGCTGCACCAAAAACAACAACAACAACAACAACAACCCTAAAACAACCGCAGCTTTCTGCATCCACCATCTTGTCAGAGCACAATTCGATACCTCTCAACCATAAAACAAAATAAAACAGAATTTCCATTCTCTTTTTCCTGCTGGCCATTCCATCCAAACGCTTATAGCTATTCTCTGCGTCTGTACATCTTACTGCAGAGCACAAAAAGAATTTTGTCAGAAATTTAGAATGCAACAATTTAGAGGGTAGAAAAAAAATTGCTGCAGGAAGGATGTGACCCCACTGGTTGGTATGTGCTTGTAGAAGAGGTGAAAACAGGTTTACCTTAGTACATATCCCACTTCCAGCCACTCATCTCTAGGTGGAATTAAAAACAAAACAAAAATCTTCAGTCTAGGTCCCAAGACTCCCATT